CCGCTTTCGTGCCTGAGGTGTCCACTGGGCTAAGCTGTGGACCTCGCCCCGAGCGGAAGAGACGTCTTTGGTCTCTGACAGTTTTTGGCACAAAGCCGCATCCAACGTTGCTTCAGCCGTGCTTCGCCGCAAGGGACAAAGTAACGGGCCCAAGTGACCGAGATCCGTGATGCCGAAGAGGCTTCGCAACTGTTCGTGGGACAATGCCATTCCCTTTGGCAGCTTCAAAGCATTGAACAGGGCAGGCGCTGCCAGCGAATCAAGTCGAGCAAGTTCTGTCGCAAGTTCAATGGCCACATGCCAAAGATTCTGGCCTCTTCTTGCTGCTCTTTGTGCACAACTAGTGAGCAGTTCACCCCAGGGTGTTGCATCTCCCAAGCGGACTTTCACATCGGCTGGAAGCCAGCGGCGGAATTCTTGCAAAGTCTCTGCAGGTTGCTTTTTGGCAAGTCCCTTCAGCAGGCAAATGGCAAAGCCCTTTGAAAAGAATGCTTTCGGAAGATCTGCAAGTTCTCCTAAGATGGTCATTGCTGCATCTGGAGATGAAGCGACGGCAACGGATACAACCTGAGCAACTTGCTGTTTCTGCCAATGCTTCGGAATCGTGCTGGACAGCAGCTGCAGCACGAGCAATGGCATCCGTGCGGCCAAGGAAAAGGCCGCCTTGAAGGACGCCGAAGAAGCCAAACCTGAGTAAGGCGTGCCAGCTGCACCCAACACTTGCTACATTATATGAACACATCTTTCTACTTATCTGCACTAATTGCAATATATATATATATGTATATGTATTTACGTATTCAAAACTAAATATATAACATAACTTGTACATAACTATATACAGTAGTCAAATTAGAATATTTTTTTCATGACTCTTCACTCTTCAAATGCAAATTCTTGACAATGGTTCCATTCCACTACAATGGTTCCATTCCACTGGGCATGAATGCAATTGAATGCATGTGTGCCAACCCTGGCCTGGCCACTGAGCTTTCGCCAAGGCAGCCTGGTCTTCAGTGGAACCCTTTAGCAGCAGCTTGGCGGCAATGTGCCTCTCACAGCTCGCCAGCAGCTCAGGTGTCACGAGTCCACGGAGGGAGCCATGACCCAACCGAGCCAGGGCTTGGAAGGCCACGGTGCGGAGGGCGGAGCTGGTCTGGGGCACTACCTGAACCAAACGTGCAGAGTCGCACTTCAGCAGTGCCGTTAAGGCTCGGACGCCCACGGCATGGGAAGGAGAAGTTGTGAGGTCGACCAACCCGGTCGAATCTGGGCAGGAGCCAGGCGGGTGCCGGGTACACAGGAGCCAGGCAGCTTGAACTGCCACAACGCCTGCGCTGGAACTGCTGGAGCCTTGTGTCACAAGCTCCTGGAGCTGTTGAGGTCCCAAGGCGCGGAGCTGCGTCACCACTTCCGGCCCATAGCCAGCTCCAATGAGAGTCTGCCAGGCCGTGTTCGGCGGCGTAGCCATCTTCAAACATCTAAAAGGACTCCAAAGGTATTCAATAACCGGTCAGCGGATAGAGCCAAGATCGCGGGCATTGATGCCACCAAGGGATGTTGCTGGTTTCTAGATGAGGTTGCTTGGTCTGCGATCAAAGCACATCAGGGAAAATTAGTGTATGTTGCCGTAGACAAGGCAAACCTCCAAATGCTGAGCGCACCTTCTTTCCAACTCCAGGAGCTGGTGATGACCGAGCCTTGCCATAGTTGATATTAAAAAACAATCGCGGTTGTATTTAATGTCAATATGGGCATGGCATGCAAATGGAGCATGCATATCATGCATGTTCTGTTTGACCTGTGGACACGCGGGTTCCGTTCTGCATTTGCTTATGATTCGGCTACTGATTCGGCGGTACATGTAAAACACAACAAGCAGTAGCGAACTGGCACCGCATGCTTTACTAATTCCCACATGTGTCCACTTCCATGTTCGTTCTATTGCATTGTATTTCATTGTATTTCAATAATTCTGAGTGGTGCTCTGCACAGATCATACTGTAGTCATTATATAATCTCTCCAAGTTGGGGTGCCCTTTCGTGCCCTTATTGTTGCAGCCACAGCGCATTCCCTGTGTTGAGAGCTCCTCTGCTTTGGCTCTGGCCTACAGGAAAGTCTATCACCAAAAACAAGCTCGCAACCAACAACGCACAATTCTGAAAGTGATCAGAACCCGGTGAAACATGTTCTTTGCTGAGATTTCCAACCAATTGAAACCTCTGGAAGTGCAGCATGTTTTGGACCAAACGCAATTGAAAGCAGCTGCTTGCTCAGCTCTCTCCCTCCCCACACCGCACCTGCAGAGTTCCCACGCTCGGACTCTGGCCTCCAGCGATAATGCAAAGACCTTTTTTGACTATTAAAAGTACTAGTACTGAGGTACTGAATATAATATAGCTTGTCAAAAGGAAATTCTCGGTGAACTTTACAGTCTGATTTGACTGATGATACGTGCCGATATATCCATTCCAAACTCGACAGGGTTTGGATCACACAACACGGGTTGGGCAGGAATGCTTCTCTCAAGCACAAGTACACTGACCGCGACAGTCTTAAACAGCGTTGAACATACGCAATGCCAAACTGTTTGACGTGTAGTAAGTAATACATCATCACCTCCGTCTATGCCAGGAATCCGCACGCGAAGGGGTCCCCCCGCGATCGTGTGATGCCACAGGATTTCAGGTGCATAACCTTGGCAAGTTGGATCACGGGATCTTTTTGATTGCCCTTTGCAAGCAATCTGAAGTCGCACATTGTCCATTGCATGCTAATATATACTACAATGCCCACATCCTCTATCAAGAGATTCTGGGTGCGCAAATGTTGAGATACCAAACGATGCCGTAACGATGCTATCGAACGAATCGTCTCGATTGGATGTGGGTCTGAGCAGCCCTGCCAAAGCTCTTCCGGTCAACTGTCTGCCGCACCGGGGGGCAACCAGGCTCCTCGGATGTTCGCGTAGCACTGGATTCTGTTTACTTTACCTCATCAAATCCATCTCAGGTGGGGGTTGTGTCAGTTTGTGCTTGGTGAAAGGGTGCTATGGCTGCGAAAATGCGCTCTATCATGCCATCAACTATATGATTAGATCGTTGACCCTCCTGGCTTTCAGAAGAGCTCGGACGGCTCGTAGTCCTAATCACAACGCCAAAGACAGCGCGTCACTGTAGCCGAAGTTGGAATTGGCTGCTACATGCTGCTACTATAGGTAGAAAACAATTCGGAAGATTCGGAAGTTGAAAATGCCTCCACTGCTGCAAGCGATAGCTCCCATGAACGCAAAATGGATAGCCTGGCAATGCCTGGCAGTTCCTCTCTCGGATAGAGAGCCCTAGGGGAAAGTTCCTGCACATTAATCGTTGCAATCAAACGGTCAAATCTGCCTCGCTTCTACTACTGCAGTTGGTGACGAAATGAGTACAGTCCGACTGACCCAAAATGAACCGCGCCTCACTGCCTGCTCTGGAACCTGAACACTGGCGCTCATGGACTGCAGTTCACTTCAAGCCCATTGATGCGGCAAACCGTTGGAAATCTGGCTATGTCCATTCCGCCATGCCACAGTACTCACGATAAATATTCTTTGGAGGCTGGCGGCATTGGCCAATTCGGAATCGCTCTGCATACCCTCGGGCCTGCGGAGCCTGCGGTCTTTTGGGCACACTCCCACCACGTCGAGGTGGAGGACCTAACATGTCATGAAATGACACATTCAAATTACCAAGTCAGCAGTACATGTCAGTACTATATAATAAATAAAGCGGACACAGCACACATCACACATTCATACACATTCCATTCACCTTCCAAACACGTTCTTGTGACATGGTCCATGTCTGACCACCTAGTTCAACAACAAACCTTCATGCAAGAGTGGGCATCGTGATTCCTCTTTGCCAGCCCTTGCTGCTGTACCAGCTCAGCAGGGATATCATCAGCAATTTCGAGACAGCCATCCATCCAACGATCAAGCCTGGTGGTGGAGCATCCTTGAAATCAGCAGATGCAGCACCTCAGCAAAACAAGACTAGCGACTGGTGACCGGCAGTAGTATGATCAAGTTGATCAAGCCATCACAACTAGGCTGGAAGTGCGACTGTCAAAGCGTCATTTCGTCACAATTGCTCTATTCCCCCAGGCTACTAGATGCTGCATTTGCAGCTTGCAGTCGATATGCAGGCAAAGCTGTTCTATCTCAATTTGGGCATATTTGGGCCAGTTCTGGATGGGTCAATTCAATTCAGATTCATTTGGTTGCTGTGCAACCTTGTGGCGAGACCAGCCGGGAAAATGCTCAGGACTCTCAGATCAAGACCAGCCAAGATTCAGGCTGCTACCACCACCAGGCGGCTTCAACACTCGAGTGGTTGGAGTGTCAGAGAGCACATTCCCACAGTTCTGATCAGCTCCGTTGGCATAGGAGTTGGAGGAGACCCGAAGCCTTTGCCCAAAAGCATCGCCTTTGCCGCCGCTCGCACCGACACCTCTCCGCTGAGGGCACTGACTTGCTGAACTTGTATCCCAAGCCAGGCTCATCTCTGAATGCCCTCCGGGTGGCCGCAGCACGCGGGTGGTGGACACCCCAGTGAGGACATTGCCTGTATTTTGGCTGTTCCCGCTGGCATAGCTGTTGGAACTCTCACGAGGCCTCACTCCATAAACCTCGTCCGGAGGGCGAGCACGCCCTGCACACGGCACTTGTGCTGGGCTAGGGCCAGGGCCATCAGGGCGCCCGCCACCAAAACCAGGTGCACCAGGCCCATCAGGGCTCGGGCTGCCACGGCTTGCTCCCTTGCCGCGTGCTGGAGCTGGGGCTGGGTCCCAGCCCAAAGAAATCGAAGACTTCCCTCCTGGAGGTGCTGCCACCCGGGTGGTGGGGATGTCGCCCAGCGCGTTCCCGCAGTTTTGGTTAGAGCCATTTGCAAAGCTGTTGGCGGAAACCCTCGGGCGTGCACCAAAGGCAACTTGATCAGACATAGTCACGGCGTCCAGGAGTCCAGGTCAAAGGATTTCTCGAATTTTCTTGAGCCAAAAGCCCGTCTGACGGCAGATCACTACCAATCTTGGGATAACCTCTACAACGCCAGAATATTCTATATGATTTGTATTTCATAGCACCTCCTACCATGCACCGCCATGCGCAGAACTGAATCCCAAGAGCCATGTCCAAGTGAACATATTGAAATGCGGTGATGGGTAAAAAACCACGGGCGATTGCTTTGCACAAAAGCGCGTCTTTTGATCCCGTGCTGGCAAGGCAAACTCACTGGCAACCTGGGGCATTCAAGCACAACAAGTCCTTCAAAAAGTCTGCTGCAAGCAGAATACATTGTGCAACAATATTTGCATTGCCCATGTCAAACCCAGCTGTGCAGAGTTATCAGAGTTGAAACGTTCCTAAATAAAATGCAATCAGTACACTAGATCCGTCCAAAGACTCTTTCAAGAACCCAAATCAGTCCAGTTCTCGTCACGTCAGCCTTCCTCAACCCATGCCCACTGGAATGCGCTTTGATGAGTTAGCCTAATATGCTCAAATAGTACGCAAACCATTCATGATGGTAACTTTCCAACACGTTCAATTCACTGTGTAAAACTGCCACTTTGCGTCAAGCGTCACATGCTAGGAGGGCTCACCTCAGGGCTGCGTGAGGGGTTGGTTGCAATTGCATCACGTGCATTCACATGCTAAATTTGGGTTATTTGGACCTCAATTGCACATCGCCATGTCTGAATCTTGACCTGTGAAGCGTTGGTGGCCTAGTGCAATTGGCTGCTAGAGAAAAACATTCATGATGGATGCATAACTATATATAATGCTATGCCAAAAATTGCAAAACCTATAATTGAAATATGTATATAAGTTAAGCTTAACTTGTGGATCAGGAATCTCTTTAAGAATAATGTGAGGCATTGGACTCTCCGCGCAGTTCCCAGCCTTCTGCAGTATCCAGCTTGCCATCTGCTTCTGGCACCCTGACAAGGCCAAAAGGTATCTACTCAAATCAAGTCAAAACATGTGCGAATTTCAGCAAATCACGTGATGCAAATCTATACAGATGTGTTTTGTGAAGACTAGTAACTTAGTATCCCCCGTTCACAAAGATTGTCCATAATTTTCATGTTCCTGGAAGGGTTCAATGAAGTTTACTGTTTCTCTCATGTTCTTCCCATTCTTCTCTCCCTGAGTGTTGAAGTCATTCCCGATGATTGCCCTGCCTCGCTTTCCAAAGCGTTTCATCTCCCTGCTGCACACGGACGCGGCACAGCGCAGCTGCCGCGTCGAGAACCTCGCCTGCGACGTTGGGGCGGAAAAGTACAGGGCGGAACAATGTTCGCTACTAGGAGCAAAGGGCATCGCTACTAGGAGCAAGGACGCTACTAGTAGCTCCTGGCCATACTACTAGGAACAAGAAGCTTCTAGGAGCACAAGGTGTTTGGATGGTGTTTATGTTTGCGTCCCTTCAGGACATCAGGAGGCGTTCCTTTGCTTCAGGGGCTAGAAGCCTTTCCATTGCCTTCTATACTCCCCAAAACACGACTTCGCTTCAGTCGGTTCCCATGTCAGATGAAAGATTTTTAGACCAATTCTGCACACCAAACAAGTGGCGGCGTTGGGTGGGAGGAACCTCAAGAAACTCAGGTCCATATCTCTCTAACCCTGAGGCCGCCACGAATGGTTGTGTGATCTTGTGGAGCACAGCGTTCAAGTCTCAAAAGGCACAAGGGCAAAATACCTCCGCACTGAAGCAAACAGTATAGTTTGGGGATGTTGGGGGTGATGAACTCACAACCAAAATAGCATCCAATCCTTAATGAACCTTTTGTGCATTTATCCACCTCCAAGAATCTAGCATGACAACTTTTCAAGCGCCTTCAAAACGAGACGACGGCGCACCTTTATTGATCTTTTTCCATGTGTTATTCTTCTTGTCGATCAAACCTTAGCGGGCCGCGTGAGCCTGCCACACCATCCGAACGGAAAAAAAATCCATCCAGTCCACACTCTCAAGGACAATCTTGACGGGGCATAGACGGGCTTTTTGAGATCAGTTCTTCTCTTGACAATTATTGATATGCCACCGCAAAAAGGGAGCCCTCTTAGTTCATCCAAACAAAGCCGTCCATGTTTCGAGCCTCACAGACTCACGGAACTAGTCTCGGAGGGTCTCCAAACAGGAACAGGAAGATTCTATAGTACTGTCGAGGATCTGTTGACGCTCTCCACGAGTTCCTTGATGGCGTTATCATGCCTTAGGTGCACGGACAGTAAGACTATTGACTATTGCGCTTGCCCCTTGGTTCAGGCCTTGTGGCGCATCCATCAAGCAATGCACAGGTCTCCATGAACCATATATACAGCCGTTCAGAAAAGCCTTGTCAATCAAGGAAACTCCTGCCCTGCTGAGAAGCAGAATGACTACATGTTTTTTTGGCAAGGGTATTTGCAGGCCGAACTGCTCCTGCTGTAGATCTTTCATGACCTGATCTGCAATCTCAGTGTCAATGTTTGAGTCGTCTTCCTGCAATCATCGTGGCTGTGGATCTCTTGGGCAATTTCAGGTAAGGGAAATAATTAAAAAAAACGGTCACATAATGTCACATACAAGTGCGTATGACTGTGCTGCAGCAGCTTGCTGGCTTCAATAAAGTTCCTCCGTTATCATAAGACCACGCGTCATGCTCAATGGTGACCAATGTTCCCATCGACTATCGCTCAATCACAGGCCTTCGGGTGCTCTTCCTCATCTTGGAGAAGGAGCTCGAGCTCTTTGGGCTCCATGTCTGGTAAAGACCCCAAGATGTAGTCCTTTATGGCTTTGGGCAATGCACGAAGAAGATATGTATGAGTTGTCAGTTAAGGGATGTTGAGGCCGAAATGCTATGTTCTCATCAGTGTGTTCACCAATTTTGCACAACGCAGAGTCTCAGTGCACACATACACAGTGTCTTGGAATACACTTTGATTTGATCGTACGAACCTGAATAATCTCACCCAAAATTGCATATCATCGCATTCTCTACATGCCGGAACAGTTCCGCCCTTGGTTTCCCCCTGGCCCTGCGGACAGTCCCGGAGGATCTGCAGCCGCCCACATGTGTCGTCCAGAGCGATGCGCCGGCGTCGGGTCTCCTCGGCCTCATCGGCCTGAACGTTGGAGGTTCATGGTGTCCGGGATCGGCGGATTTCATCGTTTTAGTGTTCATTTTTAGAGTCGAGTTAGTTATATACAGTAGTTAGTTGATGTTAATTCCTATGTGTGGGTTTGCGCAACTGTTTGCTCTGTTGGTTCCATGACGTCATTGAAATCAGGGGCCGCGCCGAAATGCCCCAAATACCTATCCAACATTATCCAACCAACATAGTAGTTAACATCTCTCTATGGATCCTTGCCTTCTGTATTCTATTTCACTGTGCTTTCAGTTAAATACGCCATACGCCAAAGCGTGCCAAAATGATCCAAAATGTAAAAACCAGATCAGAATGTAAAGCTGGCTTTGAGCAGGCTGAATTTCCTCTAAGTACAACTCTTGGAGCCTTCTCCCATTGCTGCCTGATGTCCCTCCCTCGCCTTAGCCGAATTGGGACGTCCTTGGCGCTGGACCATCTGTCGGAGTTCAGCAATGCGCGCATCGCTGTTCTGGCGCTCGGTCCTTATAAGGGTCCGGCGTCATGTGAGAAGTATGCACGGCAACAAAAGACACGTGGCAAAAAGAAGAGATTCAGTAGTGTCATGAAAGTCATGAATACTAGTTAGTGAACAAGGTGGTTTCTGCATGTTTCTGCAATGTTAACTCAATCGCAGCATTCACCTTCGAGCCATGAACAAATGCTCCCCTCTCCCAGAATCCCTGGCAAAACTGAGGCAAACGAAAGCTCTGCTAAAAGTTAGTCCAGGTCCTGATTGACATCAATACTTGAGAACATGATAGGACCACGCAATGAGTCGAACGCAATCAAGCAGTCTCACTACTCAGTTGAGCATCTCGATACCCTCTTGCAGCTCCTTTGCCTTTTGTGCCTGCGGTTTGGTTCCATGAGCATGCATGGGTGAACAAATTCCAAGAAACCTCGATACCAGCCGGTTACTCCAAAGCCGTCACTATTTCAACACGGCTTGTTTATGCAGCTTCCAAACTTGGATTGGCTTCAGCAGTTGGTCACAGTTTTTGCCTTACATTATGCACCTATACTGTACATGCAATGATCCAAGCACATTCCCCTTCCAAATGCCAGCGTCTTCTCTTGGAGGCCGAGGCGACCATTCTGATGCCTGCTCCTTGGTTTTTTGCCGCCAGTGCTGAAGATCTGTAAAGTCCTGAAGTGTTCAAACAAGGCCCATAGCAACTCAATCTCGTGATGCTCTCACACTAAAAACAAACTCTTCTTGAAACATCCAGTGAAGCAACCAAGACCTTCTCCAACTTCCTTACAGTGATATTTAGCACTTTGGCTCGCTTCGCGGAAAAACGGCCACCCTCCTTCTCAGCGGAGCCCAACTTCTGGGAGATCTCTGTATTTTCGGCTTCTCCTGGGCTGGCTGTGGTGGAGTGGAAATGAGTGGAAAAGGCGGAAAAGGGGTGCAATTTCAAGGTGGATGGGAGGTTGGAAATTATCCCTTCTTGTTGGAGGCACACCTCACGAAGCGCCTACTGAGTTGTTCAAGCAACGAACCCACAGCCTTAATTGCTGCGATCATGGGCATAAACATAGACTTAACAAGCTGTTGTCCAAAAATCTTAAAATTGTGTGACAACCTGGGAGTCTACAGAACTCGTATATGGCCTGAAAAAAAAAACAAACATAAAAACAAAACGACTGTCAACCAATTGTTGAAGGTGGACCCGTGGAGTGAGCCATGCTCTGGAGATCTACCGAAGCAGAACTGTTGTGGGACCAAGTCTCGAAGATCTACCTTCTGTTGCAGCTCCTCTTGCCGTACCTTGGCGGCTGACAAGCTTCGCTTGGTGCTCCTGGCATTCCGCCCAGGTCGGAGAACAGGGACACATAATCAAGAATCCCAGCGGCAATTGATCTGGCGTCAACGACACCAAAAGCCATCGATAGCCGGATCGAAACCAGGCTGCAGGCTCGGCTATGCAAAATATATATATATAATATGTATATATATATAATATTGTTTTTTGCGCATGCTATTGCACGCAAGGTACAGCTGAAGGTAGTAAAACGTATAATGGTGCAATGCGCCTGCTTGGAGTCAAGCCCGGGGCACAAGCATGGGAGGCATGTTGCCGCTACACTACAGGCACTCTTGTATGAAGCTCCCACTAGCACAAGTTGTCGTTGATGGCGACAGCCAGTACGCCAAGGGAACAAGCTTGATTTTGGCTGTAACTTATTGAGCTAATGAAGGTAGTACTCACGTCATAGAAAAACGGCTCAAAAGGCACATCAAAACAAATGCTGAATTCCAATGGCCATGGGCCACGTTGATCATATGTTCATCGCTCTTGCTTGACGCTTGTTTATGCTTAAAATTCATATGGGCAGCAGGTTCAGTGCATGTAGTATCAGTCCTCAACTCGCAGTCCAGTTGGGAGCACTCCTGAGGAAATTGCAACTTGCAACATATGCTTAAGTAGGTGTACCTCAGTTATTGCTTTTGGACTGAAAACTGCACCATCAATCTTCAACCGCTAGCTGGTAGCTGCTCGTGGCGACATGCACTCCACAAGCTTGAGGTACCCTCTACCCTCCCTGCTGCGCACAACGGTGCCTTCCGAAGTTCCTGAAGCTCTGCTTTTAAGGTATCGAGATCTTCTAGCTCGATTGGCCTCCGGTCGATGTCATGCATGGGAGGAGTCTGATGCGGACTGACATATCCTCAAAATAGTGTCCAATTGCTCAGCTACCCAAATAAGTATCAAGTCAGCCCCATTCCCATTGCTATGCATCAATCCATTTATATAGATGTTATTTTCTCATGATCCTTCCCAGTGGTTGTGAAACTCTGCAAGAAGCCGGCCTATCAACTTGTACAGCCATGGCGAGACGAAAAATAGACAAAAATCCACCGACAAATTTCTGGCTATGTCTTGTTGGTCTTTTGGCAAATCTGGGTCCACAAAGTCTTAAGAATTCTCTTTGCTGGATCCCATGTGTCAATGTTGCAAGTATTGTTATATAAGATTGTGCCAATGAGAAAACTCAAGGTGCTGTCCTTCTCCTGATTTAAGTTAGATCGCCAATGCAGGTTCTATCCAGTCGCTATCAGTCGCCTAGTTGAATCAAGGAGGGAACTCAGCAGTTGTAGACCCCTTGCTCCGTACAATCAAAATCCTTGCACTCACTTCTGGAATGAATTGAAAACAAACACAAACATCTACCTATAAAACAGTAGCTGAAGCGTGGCGTCAGATTGTTTTCACGGCGTTCTTACTGGAGCCACAATGAGGCAATGGCAGGGGTTGGCCATCTGATCAAAACATCCCGTAAAATAGATTATAATGAAGATGAAGCATCCAGCTAAGATCATGGATCTTTGATGGTCACTGTGGTGCATGCTGTCTCTTGCTCATTGCGTCTCTCCGAGCTTCCAGCGAGGTGCCATTCTTCGCGGCCGGGTCCGATCCAAATGCGTGGTCCGGTCCTGGCACGTGGGTCGATCGCCTGCAGCGAAACCAACGACAAGCATTTCCTCACCAGCCTCGAATGGAGGAGCCGCGTCTCGCATTTCTTCACCTGGAGGCTACTAGGAGCAATGTTCGCTACTAGGAACAAAGGGCATCGCTACTAGGAATTCATTGGGCCCCCCAAAACTTCGACTCTCAGAGTCAGTGGCGGTGAACCAGTTGGACCAGTTGCGGCCTGAACTTCCTTTCTTTCGGTTGATGCCTGTTCTGAAGGTATGGAATAGATCCATGAAATGGATCCATTGATGGTCACCACACTTCCCTCTTAGTTCCAAGCTTAAGGGCTGTGCCACGTCGGAGTTCCATTCCTTGTCACATCTGAGGTTGACATCCAACTTGGAAGCAAGGCCTCCTTTTCACACCCCAACAACAAATGAAAATGCAAACTCACGGGACAAAAGGGAACAGCATCGCGTGAGGATTGTGACATTATCTTTTTTTTGGCTTGCGAGTGACGCTTTGTCCTTTGGCTTTTCAAATCGATTAAACATACATCTAAAGCTGGTGTTGACACAAAGTAAGTATCAAAGGAACCTAGGCCTTTATGCCCCCACACACATACACACACACACACGCAGAGACACAGACACAGACACAAACACAGACACCCACACACCCACACACCAAAAGACTCCAGCTGACCAAGTCTCTGCTTTTGGTCGCGGTCGTGGCACTGATGGACGTGCGCGACGAGGCTCCTGGGTCTGCCATCAAAAGTTCAAAAGGCCTGCCTGTGCGGGAAGTATTCGTCTGTCTGCTGCAAAAAACCTTCAATTCATTTAAGTAACTACTGAATATTGTATAAAGTAAAAAACAATATACAAAGGTTTACCAAGGCAATGTCGGAGCCCCTCTTTGCTATTTAGGCTCAACAATTTTCCATTCGTTGCGCGTACCCAGGGAAAAACTTCCATCGTCCATGGTCTATGAACTATATTACCAGCAAACTCTTGAGTCGACAAGTCCAATATCATGCCTTGGGACGACATTGAAAACAAACATGCTAACTGAGCTCAAACTAATGATATTGATATATTTTTACATTGTTATTTACATCAATACACCTTAACGGCGTAGAGACTGGTGGACAATGCATGCCTATGTGGTCACTGCATCGATCTCGTAGCCCAAAGCGAGTCCTCGGCCTCACCTTTCCATTTCATCAGGCCTCAGGGTTGGGTGAACCCTCCTCCATCCATCTCCATCCTAGTCTCACATAAGAGGCCTACTATCGTCTCCTGGACCACCGCCATGTCACAACCCTGTCACAATCGCCATGCGACCTGCCTTCGGATCCTTCCTGCCTTCCTGTGTTCGGCACTTGCTCAAAACATTGTTGAAAACCGGGGATACAGTACACCAAGAAACCCATGATAAAAACCATACTATAGGATGTGCATGGGCATCTCTTGGCCAGTTTTATCCCGTTTCCAGCAAAATGGTGCACTGCAACATACTCCACTGAGTTCCACGACGCAAGGCTGGGCGTTCTTCGCCATCTTGGCTCAAAGGAGCTCCTTCGCTGGAGTTCCACTCTGCCACAGGCCGCCGCCTCGGCGCTCCACGCGACCGGCCGGCCGTGCTGACGCGGCGTCTGTGTCACGCGACCGGGTGCCAAGAGCATCTCAGATCCCGCACGGGCGACTGGGCTTTGTCTTGGGCTTCGGCTCCGACCTGGCAAAGCACAAAGCAGGTCTTTCAACTCTATGTGTGGACTGCGGAGCTCTTCAATAAATGTATGCCCAGCTACAAAGGCCCACAACAGCTCACGTGGTGTGATTCTGACAGAAGCTTGCCCAATACTTCCCCGTTACAGCTGCAACTCCTGCCGTGCTTCGGTCATTCAACAATATAGATTGTGTCGATTACTAATAATTCCAACCCGCATTGGCACATAGGCACAAAACCATATCAACATATGTGCGACGATCAAAACTCATTATGTGTGGCAAGGTCATGGTGTCGCTTTTCAGGGCTCCCATCGTCTCACACAGTGCGGAGCTTGTTTTGGTTAATTCATGATATATCGAATCCTCTGTATGGGAGGTCCCTGGATTATTGGCCTTCTTCCCCTGAGAGCTGCAAGCTTGCAGTTGCCTTTACTTTACTCAGAAATGACGCCAGCATAGACCCCAGAGTCTCTGAGAGCAAAAGACACGAGTAGGCAGCACCAGAGCAGCGACACCAGCACCCAAGCTCCAACCCGCGCGCAGCCACACATCTGGCAGCAGCACCCTGCAGCAGCACCAGCACTCAGGCTCCAAAGCGCACAAGCACCTCTTCCTATACTTGAAGCTATCTGGGGAAAAGTTGTGTTGGGCGACCCTGGATCTGGGGTTTTCCCTATATTTGATGATTTCTGGTATCGTTTGGGGTATCGAAAAGCATCGTTCGGGGTATCGTTTTTGCATGTTGAACTTGCTAGCGGACAATATATACCAGTGAATATAATCAATCACGCCACAACAAATGAACTTGTCTGGTATCGTTTTTCAGGGTTCCCATCGTTTTACAAAGAAAGGCACATTCTTAGACATTCCACGGCGACTTATGTAAAGAACTCTTCAGCGCGTGTTTTGGCCCTTGCACATATGTAATATGTAAACTGTCACTTGCTGATCTTGTACCTTTTGGATCTTATTATGGTCCCAGTATGATCCCTTTCAGATGGTCTGACAGGCTAGATATCCCCAAATAGGCTCAGCCGGGCCACCCTCTCAGCAAGGCGTGAAAGGTGCGATGCGTCTCACACGCTGGGCAGGGGCAATCCTGCACCAAATGACATCTGGCCAAAAGGCCTGAGATTGTGGCCTATCAACCTATCGATCTGGCCACTCACTTCTGAGGTTACCATCAACTAAAGCCAGCTACAATGCGCTACAGCTTGGTGCATGACATGTGGAAACAGCTCCGGGCACACTTGTTTACATACTTGGTGATCCCAAGTATATGTGTCCTCATCGTGCGCGCCACTCTGCTGCCCAGCTGCGGGGAGCATGGTACGCTCACCATAGCCATTTGGCCTTGACCCAAGCTGAAGCAACGATACGTACCCAGAAGGGTCTAGAGTCTAGCTACTACCAAGCATGATGTGGCAAACATGCCCCACAAAACTTGCAGGGAGTCTTTTTGCTTCAACATGCTTCAACTGATGCCTTCTTCTTGGTTTTCAACCCGGGATATCCCGACTATATACACGCTACTTCTTGAAACCAGGCCCCCGGAGGAACATGAGGAACACATTACATCGAATTTTACACATACGATTGGAAGTTTGCCTCAATGTCCAAGGCCACGATGCTTTTGCATTGTTCGGATTGGAATTTGTATTTCTCCAAACGGTCTTTTAGCAATCAAATATATAGTATATAGTGTCTTTATGTGTCTTTTGCTCTCTTTCATTTGAGGCTGGAAGAAAGGCACTGTCACAATTCCAAAACATTCCAAGGACTTTTGACATCGGCATGAAGAAAACGATCAAAATGATCGAGGAAAACAGTTGACCGGGAAGGTTCTCAGTTGTAGTCGTGGGTAAGCATTCCAAATTATATAATCATAACCATAGCTGAGCCTTGAGTGTCAAGCTGCTGACAAGTTCAAGTCTTGAACTTGTCGGCAGCTTGACACTCAAGTGGCGCGAACGTTTGCCATCAAGTCAACTCATTCAAAGAAAGCAGGACCTTCGAGGGTGTTTGGAATCAGTAGTCCACCCGCACCTCCTCATGGCAGAGGTGGCCTCAGTGAAAATCCAAATTGGAAAAAAAGAAGCTGTTGGCACGGTGGATGCCAACTTGACACTAAACCATCCACTCCTCTGTTGCATTGAAGATCGTTACGTGCAACGGCCCGCTGCTGACCATGACAAAAGTCCAATCTAAGCCCTCCGCTTCAATTGGCCCAGCCAATCGCGCCATGGCTGTGGTTTCCCTTTCAATTCCCTTTCTGTGGTGTATCTTGCTGAGACTGTTGAGGCTGCCTTTGTCCAGCTCTTCTGCAGCCTGACCCAGCTGCAAATCTAGACAGTAAGTGCGTGGCATTACGTTAATGCTGCCTGTATGCAAAAAGCCAACTTAGCAATCCTACAATATCAGTGAAGCATGGCTTTGGCAATCAGCTCAGCTAGCCGCTAGCCATTTCTGAACTGAATCCGATTGAGCCACTCGCGAAAAGTGGCATGGATTTGACTCTCATTCTCATGTGGGACCGCGGGCCGCATTGCAAAACAACTTGAGAGGAGGGAGACACGAAAGGTAGGACAGCGGGAAGAGAAGAGAACGCGAGAGGCAGGAACAAAAATGCAATGTTCGACATGGTGATTTATCCCCTCGGAGGCGACCTTTCGTACATATATGTTCATATGCACTTTAAATGTTCAAACATGTGCTCTCGAAATGTT